ATATATATATATATATATATATATATATATATATATATATATATATAGAAATACATTTCTGTAATAGTAATTTTTTCGAAAATACTTATTTGTTTGTCATTCACTGTATTTCGCCTCAAATTACAAGTAAAAGTATCTATAATCCAGTTTGGACGCTACGGAGCTGCCAGCAGATGCAAACGCTGCTACGTCATGTGTTGCGCGTGTTCCGCGAGTCGCTGCCGCACGCGCTGGTTTCAGAAAGGTGGGCGCAGACCGCGCTGCAGCTGGGCCTCTCCTGCCCGAGTCGACACTATGCCGGACGATCTTTACAGGTAACACCTTACTTAATATGTTCAAGAAATTTACCTTTTATTTAGTTTTCAAGTATTCTGTATTTTGACGTTATTAATTACTAGACTAGAAACGTACCTAACCAGTTCAGGTAGTTTACAAGCTTCCATTGACTCGTTTGAGGTAAAAACTGTGAACACGAAATGATATTGGCACCAAAACCTAAATGGCTTATTGTAGATGTAAACTCATATTTCAAAATAAATGTGATTATCAACATCAACTTCAGGACACCATGTGTTTGTCACCATGTTACTGTACGTCTAATACGTGTACCGCTTGGACTTATCGGCCATTTGATTAATATGTTGTCTGTTTGTTCAGGTTTTCCGCTTCATAGGTGTAGCGATGACAGGTCGCATGGTTTCCGACATTCTCTCACGGCTGGTAGAGACTGTAGCTGAGCAAGGCGAGGACATGCAAGGCTATGTCACCGAATTGCTGCTAACGCTTGAAGCGGCTGTGGACTCCCTAGAATCCAACTTCCGCCCACTCGATTATATGAGAGACATTTTTAAGTCCACTCCGAATCTCAATAATAAGGATGGTCAACAAGTCAACGGTGGAGCTTTTTCAGCTGGTACGTTACCTGATTGTGTGACAAGGATTGGTTTCTGCGATTTCAGTTTAACTTTTATACACATCTCCTACTATATTAAATTTGAACATGTATTGCACGCAGGCAAGCGATCGCCAGGCGTGTGCGTCGGCTGCGTGACCAATCACACTCGCAGTACTAGCTACTCTGTTTCTTACTGTGTACGTAAGAGTAATGCACCGCCGCCAACGGCTGATAAACCGCAACACGGTGAGACAAAAAAAAACTAAATACCTCTTGTTATGCTGTCGTGATGGAAAAGTACACGTCTGAAAATTTTTTGGTCATTAGTATAAATTCAATACAACAGATGTTTATTTAAAAACCAAAATCAAAATGCTTGTTTGTTTTTAGTCCTAAGAATATTTTCTTATATTTTTTTTATCTATATACTTTGTCAATGCTCTTTGCTAACCGAAAGTCTCTGTGCAGATGTTCGAACCAGGCCATGCAGTGAAGCAACTAAGGGAATTTGCTCCAATCTATGCAGATCTCGCTCGGCACAGTCACTCAAACTTCTAGGAGATACCGCAACACAGGTTTGTATTTTTTTCTCGTAGGTAAAAAAAGAACAAAATTTGTAATTCTGCTGTAAAAGATTAATGGCATTAGCTGTTTGACGTTTACTTACGATGTACCAAGCCCAGAAAAGTTTTCTATGAAGAAATTTATGCATGTCATAAATTTATTTTCACTTTTCGATATTTTAATACAGGACGACAAGCTGACAATCTTAGCAACATTATTTTGGGTTGGCGCATCACTACTGGAGTCGGACTATGAACACGAGTTCTTGTTAGGCGTGCGGCTACTAGCGCGCGTGATGGCGCGACTGCCGCTGGATAGGCCGGACGCGCGCGAGCGACTCGACAGAACGCAAGCGCATACCTCACCGTCACTACACGCTCTACTACTAAAGGTATACTCGCTTACACTCGATTATATAAAAAAACGTAATTAATCATCTGTTTCGATAACTTTAGTCATTTTTGATAGATGTAGTAGAATAACGGTTCATTGCGCAAAAATGTTGCCCGCTTGCAAGCACCTAGATATCGCAGTCGATAACCATTCTAATCGACTGAATGTTGGTCACGCTATGCAACAAATAGCCGAACTTGTTTCATTTGAACCATCATAGGGCCATCATTCATCTAACGGCTAGGCATAGCTTCATTTGAATTGTCACTTTTTGTTAGCTTACACGTACATTCACTGCATTTAGAACTATGTGTAATAAAATTACAAAGATGAGACATGTTTTAAAGTTTTTCATTTTAATTCAATATCAATAATCAAATCCGCATATTTTTATTAAAAGTGTATGTGAATAAAGATTGATTTAGATACTAGTAGGTCAACTGTCAAAATAAGAATAAAGAAGGCAATAACGCAATCAGTAATCATTAGAACGTCGTAACATTCACAATTCAGATATTCTTCAATTCTTTCACAATCTATTGATAAAACTGTCGACAACAACTACATGACTATTTAAAATTTTATAAAAACTAACAACCCTGCAATTCCCATTTTACTCGCGTCTTCAAAAAAGACAAAGATATATCACTTAAATATGAAAATTCTGATTCAAGCTGTCTTATTATTATTATTATTATTACCATGCTAATGCAAAAAATGGACAACAATTTTTAAGTATCAAGCATACAAACAAATATAAAATGATTCTTCCCAGGGCTGCACTCATCCTAACACGTACGAACCCGTGGTAGGCGTCTTGGCTGATATGATTCCTTTACTGGAACTGCCAGTCATCGACCCTACCCTATCTCTGGCCTTCCCTATGACAGTAGTGGCGCTGTTGCCATACATGTTACTGCACTACGAAGATGCTAACGAACTGTGCGTACGTGCAGCTTGTCATATTGCACAGGTGAGTTGATTCTGTTTGTTCAAATAAATACGAAAAAAAACAATATTTCAGTATTTACTTATTTGTGTATTTATTCTGTTTGAAATATGCGAGTCGACCGGAATAGGCAAAAGATTATAGTAGAAATTATTACAAAGACGCTAGTTATAATTTACAAATAATGTATATAAAAGTAGCCCAACCGATTTTGCATGTGGTTGCACTAATTAAAGCACGGTAATAAAAAGGAATTTTGAAAATATAGTCAATATTATAACGTAAGTTAAAATTACTGCAATTTGATGTATTTACAACATATATTATGGTTAATCGATCGAATTATAATGAAAACGAAAATAATGAAAATGTCTTTATTATCTTTCACAAAATAAACTTATATACCAATATTCCTCACACGTTATTGAATATAGTTTCGTTTGTGAAAGGCTGGTGTCCATACTAGGATTAACCTGTGTTATAGAGCTCCAGGCTCTCACCATTCCACCTATAAACACACGTAAGAAAGACAGACATAAGACAAAAGGACTTATTACTTTTTATTATTATATTATGAACATAGTTTTTATTTCCTATCACAGTTCACAGCTGAGAAAAGCAAGAAACTAGAGAATCTCGGCACTGTGATGACGTTGTACTCGCGGAAGACGTTCAGCAAGGAAAGCTTTCAATGGACCAAATGCGTCGTCAAATACCTCTGGGACACCTACTCTCACCTGTCGCTGCAAATGCTCGCTTTTCTCGTTGAAGTTCTTGAAAAGGTAATTTTTCGTATTTTATGCTTTGTCTGTTTTGTTTACTTATATATTACCTTTGACAAAAGGTTTGCGTGATGCCAATATCTTTTCTTCCTTCATAGTTTCACGATTGACCAATTTGAATATCCTTTCTTGTGTGGCTGTCATATAGTTTCATCTCGTCTTCAAATTCTTTCAAAATTTATGAGATTTGTCCTATTGAAACCTATATTGTATAATACTGTCCCACTAACGAATGTTGTAGGGCGCAGTGAACTTGCAGCTGCCGGTGCTGTCGATTTTGCATTGCATGTTGTACTACGTGGAGCTGAACGCGCCCGCTGCGCAGCCCGTCAACGCTGACCTTCTCAGGGTGGTCGCCAAATTCATTGATGTAAGTAGCACACTGCTTCTCTTTGTATACGTAACAGAGTCTTCCAAAATGAATATAAAACTGACGTACGCAAGCATTATTGATTATTGCTACGCAAAAACTTTGGCCATCAAATGCATACACGTCTACGACTTTTTAGAATAACGGACCTACGTCAAATAGATTTATAAAAAAAATACTACAAAAGATGTACTGTGATTATTTAATCAATGAAATGCTCGATATTCAAACATGAATTTAAGACGTGCTGAATAGAGCCGCGTAAAAATATTATTTTTGTTTGGGCCAGTATTATTTAAAAGTAAGAATGTGAGAGATGTTTGCTTTAACTCGAATTGAACTAAGGCGGAGAATATAAACACTACATTATATTCCAACATAATGGTTGTGTCCAAACGCTAACGTTGAGTAAAATCACTGCTACGTAATTACTAAACATATTTATACTGTGCGCCGACGCGCTTGGGGATCCTATATTTTGCATATTTTAGCATTAGTATAACAACATTATGATTGATCAATACTTAAATTTGACAGAAATCACACACTAACAAATTACTAGTGCCAAATTTTCTATATATTTTTTTCAACATGTATAATTATAAACTTTTATCTCTGCTGTTAGACTAACTTACTACAGGATGGAAATAACTATAAGGAGGCCATGAAGATCCTCAAGCTAGTAGTGACGCGGTGCTCGACTCTGGTAGTACCACCGTACTGGGACAATCACGCGTCGTCTATATTGGACACCGAACTACATGGAAAAAAGGTAGATTAATATTTTCGAACCTTACTCTAATTATTGACCTTTAAAGGCATATAATTGTGGTTTTTTTAAATCTTTCGTAGGAGCTGCCCGGCCGTACAATGGATTTTACGTTCGACTTGTCCCAAACGCCCGTAATCGGCAGGAAGTACCTTCCTAAAGCCAGCGGCAGTCAGCCTGCTACTGGACCCAACTCACTCTCCAACGCCTCTACCTTCACACCCGACAAAGGTAGAACATATTTGTTTAAGTGCCTTTTGATTATTTTAGCTCAGTATTTTGCTACACATAAATTTGTTAATGCTAATACTACAAAACTAATACTACCCTCGCTTGCGCTCAGCCTTGTAACACTTACTCGTCTAGCAATCCCTTACTCCCCGACCTCTGCAATAATATACTATAAAGCACACGCACACACTAACGCACCCACTCAACATAGCCTCGCACTAGGGAAACCCTGTGTCGCGGATGCCATGGACACACACATAGACAACCACAAATTAAACTCAAACTCACAAGAGACTTTTTTTTTTATTTATTAGGTTTATCAACGTTCTTACATCAAATAACATGTTACACAATTTGTTATTAGTATTATGCCAAGACGCACAACTAGTGACAGATGAAACACAACTTGCATTGAGCAGATTAGTCTTAATATTTAAGTGCTATGAAATCCAATACAATTACAAAAGGAACAGAAAACAATATAGATAATTGTTAGATAAAAAACATGAAAATCAATAATAATACTTATAGACATAAATGTAGTCCATACAAATATTTCTCCCGGCCCAGGAATCGAACCTGGGACCTGTGCGTGGCAGTCCGGTATGACCATTAGGCCACGAAGCCAGTTGGTACTTGGTACTTGGTACTTGGTGCAACGGGCTGATATCCGCAACTCGACGACAAAGCGCCTATTTTGCGTGTGGTGGGTGCAGGGTCCTACTCGTGCCACCCAAGCTCCTCCAGGAATCTCAGCAGCCTCCTTGGTTTGCTGAAGACTTCGGGGAGCGACCTTGGCACTCCAAGGTATTTTGCCCTGTAGTTGGCCACGCCGGAGCACTGAAGTAGGATGTGCGCAGCCGTTTCCTCCCCCTCCATGCACGCTCTGCATAGAGGGCTGTCTGTGATACCTAAATTGAAAAGGTGTTTATTGTATGGACCATGACCCGTTAGCGCGGCAGTTAGGAGTGCGAAGCTCTTGCCTTTTAAGTTTAATTAGTATTCGAGATAGACTGGCGTTGAGCGTTGGGAGTGCTTCCCTCGCCTGTCTACAAACCGTAAGGGTGGTCCATGTATTATTATGTAAAGATTTTGTACCTTTGTGTATAGTTGTTCTGGACCATTGGCAGGGGAGGGACACTATCGGTTCTGGTCCTACAGCGTCCGTCTCCGACCCTTTCCTGGCTAGTTCATCTGCTGCGTCATTGCCACGTGAGCCGCTGTGTCCTTTAATCCACTGAAGAGTTACGTGGTTTTGTATACATACCTCCATGAGTGCTTGATGGCATTCGTAAATGAGCCCTGAGTTTATGTCATAGCTATTCAGTGCTTGAAGTACTGACATACTGTCAGAGAGTATTCGAATGGAGTAGTTCTTTACTCTTCTCGCTATGATTGCTTCTGCCGCCAACTTGATGCCCATGCATTCAGCCTGGAATACTGTGTTGTGGTCACCAAGCGGTGCTGATATCCTGATATTGAGGTCTTCTGAGAATACCCCAGTACCTGTTCCTGAGTTTGTTTTAGATCCATCTGTGAAGACTCGGACCTCTCTGGGGTTTAGTCCTTCGTTGGGATCTTCAAATAATTGTATCTTGTATTTCTTGTCAAAGATGTATTGTTTTGGGATCCTATCCACAACCGCCTCCAGTAGCGGTTCCTCATTGACAATCTTGTAAAGGATTTCTGTATGTGGGGTCCTCATGTGCTTCCAGAGGCCGGCTCTGTTTAGACGCACTGCTGTTGACGCCGCTTCCTGTCTGATGAACAGTGGGAGGGGTCGAAGGTCCAGCAGCGCTTCGAGGGCCGCAGTTGGGGTCGTCCTCATGCAGCCGGTCGTCGCCATGCAAGCGAGTCTTTGGAATTTGTCCAGCTTGTCGGTTGCGGTCGTCAGCTTGGTTCGTGGCCACCATGCTATCGCGCCGTAACTGATCATGGGTCTTATCACCGCAGTGTAGAGCCATAGTGTTATCTTGGGTGATAGTCCCCATTGTTTACCCACCATTCTATGGCACTGCCAGAAGGTGATAGTAGCTTTTTTAATTTTGTTGTCCAGATGTTTGTTCCAGTTCAACTTGTTGTCCAGTATTACACCCAAGTACTTGACTTCGGTTGATATCTGTAGTTCTGTGCAGAAGAGTTTGGGTAATCGGTAGTTACCTAGTAGTCGTTTGTTGGTAAACATTACTAGTTCCGTCTTTGTTGGATTTACCGATAGTTCATATGCTCTGCACCATCTTTCCACAATTCGGAGAGCCGCTTGTGTAATGTCGCAGAGTGTATTGGCATAGTTTCCTGTTACCAGTATAGCTATGTCATCAGCATATCCTATTGTATAGAAATGTTCTTTGTTGAGTTTAATGATAAGGTCATTTACGACCATGTTCCACAGCAGAGGCGACAATACCCCTCCTTGAGGGCACCCCTTCGCTACTATGGCCCATGGGGTCTCATTTGCTGTTGTTTTTATTGTTCTTTGTTTCAGCATGTTGCTAATCCAGCTAATTAGCACTTCGTCTACTTTGTGTCTTTTCATTGCTGATTGTATGCTGGAGAAGTTGGTTTTATCGAAGGCTCCTTCAATATCTATAAAGGTGCCTAGGCAGATTGCTTTGTCTTTAAGGGCCACTTCTATCTTGCCCACAACGGCATGTAGGGCCGATTCAGTGGATTTGCCTTGGCTGTATGCATGTTGGTTACCGTGTAATGGAATGTTCTTAAGCGCTCCATCCCTCAGTTCTCTGTCACATATCTTTTCTAAAGTCTTCAAGAAGAACGATGTGAGGCTGATTGGTCTGAAGGACTTCGCGTCAGTGTAGTCGGGTTTTCCTGGTTTCGGTATAAATATGACTTTTACCTCTCGCCAGCTGTGGGGCACATAGCTGAATGCTAGACAGGCCCGAAAGATGCTAACCAGGTGCTGGACCAGTGTGTCCCCGCCCCATTGTAGGAGTGCAGGGAATACTCCATCTTGGCCCGGAGCTTTGTATGGTTCAAATGTGTTTACTGCCCATTTTGTCTTTTCGTATGTCACTACTTGTTCTGCGTATCGCCAGTTATGGATCGATGTGGTGTAGTTCATTTCTACACACCTGTCGTCTTGGACGAACCTACATCCTGGGAAATGTACTTCCAGTAGGGTTCTTTCCGTTTCCGCAGGGGAAGTTGTGTATGTGTTATCTATTTTGCGTATTGAACCTAGCTCAGTTGAATTTGAGTTGCCTAGGATTTTCCTTATTCTGTTTGCTTGTGCGCAAGACGTGATGTTCCCGCAGTAGCCTCGCCATGACGCGGTGCTCCTGAACCGTATGCGCTTTTTTAGTTTGGATTTGGCCGTCTTGTAGTTTTCCCAGTCCTCATCCGCGCATGTGTTCATTGCTCTATTGAAGTGTCTCCTTACCCTTCTTCGTAGCCTCTCAAGCTCAGGTCCCCACCAGTGTCGACCTTGTCGCGGGGCTGCGTCACTCAGTGGGCATGCGGAGTTATAGCTGTTCAATATGTTTGATGTTAGTTCTTTAACCTGTGTTTCTATCTGTGCTGTGCCCAGTAGTCTTCCCGGTGCTCCCGGTGCTCCCGGTTCTCCCAGGTTCTGGTGTAGTTTGTCCGCGTATAGTTTACGGTCGGTTTTTCTGGGATTCCGTTTCGGTTGTTGTTCTTTAATAGTTGTTTCTAAGCTGAATCTTATCCATCTGTGGTCCGAGAAAGATGCTTCTTCGGACACGTGCCAGTTGTGGATAAGGTCCACTGCTCCTTCTGACGCTAGGGTTAGGTCTATAATAGTTCTACATCTTTTCTTTTCTCATCTCGCTCAGTCGGATGTCTCCCATCCCCAACACGCACTCGTCGTCACTGCTGGTCGCCACCGGTTTGACAGCGGCGTCCGCAGAGACGGGAGTCGAGGAGGGCCCTTCACCTTCTCCGGGAATATTGGAGGAGGTGGAGGGCTCCGGGGAGACGTCCATCCGCGTCGTTGTTGTGCCCGTCTTCTCGGGTGGCACATCTGTGTACAGGCCCCTCTTTGATCTAAACCTGAGGTAGACCGTGCCCAACTGGAAGGTTAGGCGCCGGCCATGCCCCAGGATAGCGGGGACGAGCTCTTCTGGGAGGCTCACCACTACAAAGGAGTTGCCACTGTGCTGCTGCAGCTTGTGAACAACCCAGCGGTGTGCCTCCGCCCACGGGTTTTGCTACTTGAGGATGCGGCCGATTCGACGCGCATCCTCCCAGTGACCAGGGATGAGTAGTCCACAGACCACCCTCCGGGGAGCCTCCACCCCATTTTTCAATGAGAGGGGCTCCCCGGATGGCAGCCTGATGGTGCTAATAGCATCCTCTAGCCACTGGAAGGTGGCTGTGTCCTGACACCACAGTTTCAGGGACCCGTCACTGTAGACAGGTTTACCACGAAACTGTGGGCCGACGTCCTCCTCGCTGCACTCATCCGCTCCTTGCGTGAGGCGCTGACATAGGGCCACCTGAACCATGTCGGCATCGGGGCTCCGTATGTAGCCAGTTTTGGCTGAAGTAATTACAGCCATGAGTTCGGGCCTGGTGGCCTCGGCGTAGGTGCGTTGCTGAGCGGGCCTCTCAACCTTTTGCCGCTTGTGCTCGCCTCTAGGAGATATGGTCTCGTCAAGGCGGGCACGTTTGGCAATGGTCGAGGACCTCTGCCTGCTCTCTCCCGGTTTGCTGTTAGAAGGGGGGGGGGGGCCCTTCCAGTGGGGTGCGCGACCGACCCATTTGACCGTGCTGATGCAGTCCCTGGGCCACTCGCGCCACCCACTGGGGGCCTCGCCTCTCCCTCCTTCGGCAGGGGGTTGTGTGAAGTGCGTCGCTCGCGTTCTCTACGACGGGCCTTCTTGTTTTTTCGGGCAGGGCGTCCCTTGCTCCCACTGGGGGCCGGAGGTGGGCGCTCGCCGTGGCCACTAGTCCCTTCCTTGCGGATGGGTGCCGTGGCCTTGGATTTGGGCTGGCGACTCACCAAGGTCCACCCTGCTTCAAGGGCCGCGTTTGATGGGTTGTGAGCGGGGGCCGCAGAACCTGGGGTTTGGGCCACAACCGCTGGTGTGGTGCTAGCACCAGCATCGGTGCTCGGCTGACCTTGGGGTTTCCCCTTTGGCCTACCGCTCACCGTAGGGCGCTGTGTGTTTGTAGTTGCTTGTGGGGCACTTTTGGGTTTCCCCTCCAGTACCGCCGGTTTTGGGTTTTGGGTGTTGGTATTTAAAAGATGATCGTTCAAATCCATGTTATGTGTTCCTAGAATTCATTCTCCTGACTTCCCACCCACCACGGAGCCCGCACCTTTGGGGATGTCCCATTCGGGACACCAGGATTGTCAGGAGAGTATAGGTGCAAGAGTTGGGAGCTCACTGCGCGACATCGGGGGCTCGAAATGTGCGGCTGGCTGACCTGATCAAAGTCAGCCAGGTGTTCCGCACATACTCACCCCGTCAGCATGGCCGAGTCCGTCCCCCCCACACCTCGCCTGTGGCCCTCTGACGGAACACAATGCCATTTCCCTGTGTTGGCTAATCACAGGGCTACCGTTTAGCAGGAAATCAGGGCCAAAGGGGGCGTATTGCTTGCCGGAGTCCCCACCCCGCTCGGGCTCAACCCCCCAGGATTCCTTCATCCCTGCGTACGGCGCTCAACTGCGTAGGCATTAACGCAGGAGGGTGTAAGTTTAGACTGCCCACCACGTGCCATGGTCCACCCCCAGAAACGCATGGCCGGGCCGTGTTGATCGCTTCGCGCCCTCACTGACAATTCTCAGACTGAAGCTGAGGATTGTCAGTATTGGCCCCAGGGTGCACCGGCTACGTCCTTGGGCGTTCTGTGATAACATGTTACCACAGACTGCTCAAAGACTTCGCACACGTGGAGGTGGAACAACTAACACACCCCCACGAAGGCAGTTACTATATTTTCTCTACTCAGTTGTTCATTATATACATTTCATAATTGCGATATAGTAATAGTATAGGTAACAAAACTTTGCAGTGACTGGTGCCTGAAATGGAAGGATCCTGTATTTCAGGTGACTGTATATTGTGTAAATCACACACAATCTATAGTCACCTGACGACATGCTTATTTTATTTAACTGCCATCTTTTCAGGTTCATCAGTCTCGGGATCAGCGTCAACGGTGGTGGGCCCTGAAAGCACGAACAACAACAGCGCAACGCAGCCACAGAGCGCTACCTCGCCGCGTCGCTCACTTTCGCTGTCGCCAGCAGACGCTCTTGCAGCCGGCTGGAAACGCCCTTGGATGTCACAGGTAATTTATTTCGCTGCTCATTTCATAAAATTCCAATGCGTATATAATACATTATAATCTGTCTTTTTTGAAGACAGAGTAAATTGACATTTGTAGGGTTGCGAGTTTTCATAAAATTTTAAATAGTTATGTAGTTGTTGTAGATAGTTTTATGGATAGATTGTGAAAGATTATAAAATTTTGCCAAACAATTACTGAGTCGTGAATGCTACGACGTTCTAATGATTAACAATTGTGTTATTGCCTTCTTAATTCTTATTTTGACAGATGGCTTTCTAATATCGAACTAACAAAAATTGACACTTCAAATTAAATTGTGCTCAGTAATTGGAAGAATAATGGGTCGAGGATGATTCAAATGAAAGAAGTTCGGCTATTTATTTCATAAGCGTGACCAATATTCAGTCGATAGTCGATAGAATATTTATCGACTGCAATCACTAGCTGCTCGCACGCAGGCAATACTTTTGCGCAATGAACTGTACTCTGTCTACGAAAAAGACGGACTATACATATACAATTAAATACCTAATACTAGTGTCTTGTCAACAGAGCCGAGTACGCGAATGCCTTGTTAACCTCCTTACAACTTGCGGCCAAAGGGTCGGCCTGCCTAAAAGCCCTTCTGTAAGTATTAATTGTATCTATATGTACTCGTAAAATATTTTTACTTATATGTAATCTAAACTTATGTAAGTATCTGCGTTATTTTAATGATCTATTACATTTTGTTCATTGTATTACCATAAGTGTACACTAAATAAATATAGCAGGAAATAATAATATTAACTTTTATCCATCGCTGCATTATAGGATGATTTAATAACCACTTTATGTTCTAAGGTAACTCGCTTAAACGTACTGTATAAGTCGCAACTGCTTCCACGCATACACTAGACACTAAGCTATGAATACGGCGCTCAAAAATACATTCACACCACTCACGATTGTTTACGACAAAATAAAAAACTGAATATCAAGTATATTCGACATGAAAGATTATATTATTGCAGTCTCATTTTATTTGATTGTTACGCTTTCAGCTGTTTGTGTTTTTCATTGATCAGTGTTTCTTTTATCATCATTGTTTGTTTGCTAAATTCGATCATACCTTTTTTGAACATTACTTTTTACCGCCACAATGACTAGAATATAAATTAATTGTCTGAGTTGATTTCGTTTTATTTTAATAAATAACGAGTGCCTTACGAGTAGCCGACTGCACATATTGTGATATACACACGAGAATATTTCTTTTTACTAAATAGTTAATAAAAAACACGGCGCACCAACTAAACAAGCACATTAAGCAATGAAAAGTGGACAACCTAATAGTAGTTATAAAGTATACAATTTAAAAAAGGCGAATGAAGCTGACCAGGACAAGGTACATTTACCAAATAGCTTGTAGGTAATAGCTTTGTAAAATGAAATTAATGTGACGTTCAGACTGTTCATCTTACTTGTTCTTCGAGCTTTATACTATTGGGGGTCGCGCGATCAAATTAAGCATTTATTTTTAATAAACATCGTTTCGCAGGTCATCTTTAGCCAAAGTTCAGAGCTACTGGAGAGGGAATCTTCGATGGCCTCTTCCCTGGAGGAAGTGTCGGGCACTCCGGGGAATGAACCTTCGGGAGGAGCACCGCCTACAGATCACTTTGGCGTTTTCAAGGACTTTGACTTTCTTGAATATGAAAGCGAGAGCATTGAGGTAATTTTTGCTTTATTGTGAACGCAGCGTATCATAACACATCTAGGGTACCAAACCCTTGGTCCACAAAGGATTTTTTGTTCTGAAGAATATTTCTCACTTACTCATTTTCCGTTTGAACAGGGCGAAAGTTCGGATAACTTCAACTGGGGCGTGCGCCGAAGATTGCTCAGCGAGGAGCGCGATGAAAGCCACGGACTAGAAAAAAGCCCGCCGCAGCAGGCGCGCAAATCAGATAACCAGCAAACCAACAAGCCGGTGATTACAACACTATAATCAATTATTTTCAGGGGACACTACGTGACAATGCACCAGTTTGACTGTTCGAGCAGTGCCTACTTCCGGTGTCCACGTATAAAGCAGAAGCCATGTCATTCACCGTAAAAGTCAAAGTAAAAAATTGTTTATTCCATAGGTAATATAAATTTACACTTGAAAACGTTATATTTAAGCTACTGCTCGTTCACTACGCTGACCTCCCTGAGAAGAACGAGCAAGAAACTCTAGGGATTACTCTTTTCAAATAAACTTAAATGCTATGGAATACACTTTGAATCAAATTTGTGTGTATTCTGGAGCCGTGTCGTCTTTCCATACATCTTTATCTAACACGTAGTCTTCAATTTTGTAATATGATTTTTCGATCAAAATATTTTTAATGTAGTTTTTAAACTTAGAAAATGATAAACTTAATATATGCTCCGGAATCTTATTGTAAAAACGTATACAGTTCCTCATAAAAGAGATTGTTTACCTTGGTTAAACGAAATCGTGGTGCCATAAGTTTGGACTTAGCTCTAAGGTTAATATTATGGATATCTTCTTTCTTATTGAAATTATGTATATTTTTACGGGCATATAAAATATTTGAGTAAATGTACTGTGATGCCACAGTCATGATACCAGTATCCTTAAACTTTTCTGAGAGCCCGAGAGCCTAAACGGTACACAGAACGAATCGCTCGTTTTTGCAATACAAATATGATTTGGATATGCCGCTTTACCCCACATGAGAATCCCGTAGGACATTATACTATGGAAGTAACTAAAGTAAACTAGTCTAGCAGTACTAACATCGCCTGCTAGCTTGGGACCGTCAGTCACCCCAGAATTTCGGGAGTCGTAGAGAGAGATATGCACGAAGGGTGTGCGTGACCGGCAACGCAGTAAAGGCAGAAATTTTATCACTACTATGGAGAAGAAAGTAAAGAAGGAGATCACGATGGACACAGTAGACATCCTGAACTCGAGCATGAGGGTAGTCGGCCTCATGCTCGGCCAGCTAAAAAAAATCCATCCGTCGGTACACAGACTGGAATTATATAGTCTAGAAGTAAAAAGAAGCCTAAAATTCAGAAACTATTTTTTTTAATTTTCAGAACGTTCATGAAGATTCATCAGATGAGGAACCGGGCTGGGAAGAAGGGACCGCTGTGAGTCGTGGTGACGGTGATGTCGGTGTTTCCAACGATTTGTCGCTTCGACCTCGCACGCACTCCTTCTCTAGTGCATCCAGTGGTGAAGCTGATGGTAAGTATAGCACAGGTGTATTATGAAAATATCGAAGAATGTACAATATGGGGTTTTTCACACAGACGCGTAGTAACAGATAAATGCAATATTTATGTTATTTAATGTACTTGATCTAAAATGTTTTAATGTGTCAATGAAGTTACGTGAACATGCTGAAAATTAGTGCCAAAGTCAAACCAAAGTCAAATAATCGTTTATTCCATTGGTAAAATTTTTACAAATGAAAACTTCATTTTTAATCTACTGCTCGTTCACTACGCTGTCCTCCCTGAGAAGAACGAACAAGAAATTCTAGGGATTGCTCTTTTCAAATTGAAACTTAAATGCTACAGAATACATTTTGAATCACATCTGTGTGGAATCTAGACTCACGTTTGTCTTTCCATACATCTTTATTTAATACGTAGTCTACAATATTGTAATATGACTTTTCAATTAAAATACTTTTAATGTAAGTTTTAAACTTAGGAAATAGTAGACTTAATATATACTCCGGAATCTTATTGTAAAAACATGTACAGTTCCCCATAAAAGAATCGTTTATCTTAGTTAAACGAAATCGTGGTACCATAACTTTGAACTTAGTTCTAAGGTTAAGGTGTAAATTCGTTTATAAATTTCTCAGATAATACCAGAAACATTAATGGTTAAAGCATAGTATAATACACAATAGTATCGCGGTTTCGCACAGGAACGCAAACTCAAATTTTAACTTAAATGAACTCTTTCATGGACAATAGTTAAATAACACCGCACACAAGAATGTCAGTACTTTTCTTGTCATACTTATATTAATTCAATGTTTAATCTAAATGTTTAATGTATGTAAATCATTGAATTTTGTCAGTACGTTATTGATACATCTCTATGGAAAAGCAGTAGGCGACAACTACACAGAAAGCACTTGGAAATCGCGCTACTAGCTACGCTTTACGCCTGTTGTTAGTTTTTTGAGAATATTTTAATATTTAGTTTTACAATAAATTTTGCGTTTTTATCTTCTTCAATAGAGCAAAGACAATACAAAAATATGAATGTGCACAGGTGACCGGGGAGACGTGACGCCAGTACCAGGCGCGGGGCCTGTGTTGCGCGACGCGTGGCGCACCTCAGTGGCGGCTTTACTGCGTCACGCCACACACATGCAGCCCATCGGACTAATCCATCGACTCCACACTGTACTCAAAGTAAGGCAAAAACGTTTAACTGACAATGTAAGAATAAGCAGCCTAATGACACGAACGTTTCTCTGTTAACTAAATAATTGTAACCATAGGACCTGTAAAACGTGGCCCGAAATGTTTGTTTTGTTTGAAAAACAAATATACGCGATTTAGGTTCGTAAAAATAGGTCCAGTTTCTGTATGTAATAATCGCGAAAACCTAAGACCTTACTTAGTTATGCTTTTTAATTGTTCCTACAACATCAAGTTTTGAGTTTGGACATTCGTGTTTGAGAACTATGTACTGCGGCAGTCTTTCAATTTTGTTATAATCAATGGTTGGAATAAGTTTTACAAATGAGTAGGTAAATGTCTACATAAGGACGCAAAGAGTGACACAGAGTGATTAAAACCAACATAAATACATTTTTTTGAATATGAATATCATCAAATATTTGTAATGAATCGTTACTTAAAATAACTCACTTAGGAAGTTGAACTTGGATTTTAAAGTAATTCTATTGGCACCATGTAAAAATAAATGCAGTAGATAACTATCACTTCACGAAAGTGAAAAAAAAATGAGCTACTAGCAAAAGTTTGTTTTAATTAATACGGATATTGTAGATACTTTTATATTCACCCAGAATATTAAAAAAAACTGTAAGGAGTAGATAAATGTCAACATATAGATAATAGGACTGCCTTCCGACCATTAGTTATGTTATAATGCATTATAAACAAAAATTGACAGCACTAAATTATGTTTCAAATATTTGTTGATTTCTGCATTGCAATTATAATAAAATTACATATGTAACTGTCACGATTTAGATAAATAACTCAGAATTAATATGTATAATCATTTTTTATTTAACTTGTAATTAAAATATAAAAATCACACATCTCTTTTTGATTTATGCAGTTTGACATACACATGATCAAGATCTTACAATTTACATAGTTTAATCACACTTTAATAACCTTAATTTAGGTACTTAACTGCACAATTAAATATAACTTAATACTAAATAAAGGGTATTCCGTATAAATTATCCTTTTGATGTTTACAGTGCAATACCTTTTTGGCACTGGGTAGTGGTGTGGTAGTGTAGGTTATTGACTTCCTCAGGAATACTTATAACATTTAATATCAAAACTTATAAACTTTAAAGAAAATAAAGAAAGCTTAAAGCCTGACTCGACAAAAGAAGAACAATACTGCTTTTTTTGCCAACAAAACTTTAGGACTTGCTATTAGAAGAACACTATGAGAAGAACATCTTATAAATTTGTAACAAAATGTGAAATATCGCATTGAAAACTATGTTAAGAATTGCAAAACTCTTTGAAGGTGTGTGAAATCTCCAATGACGATGATAAATAGCATCGAGTCTATAACCAGAAACAGAGACGAAATATCATTCAATTTGTTTGAAAACTATTCTGCCATATAATTACGGAGACAACTGCGCTCCGATTTACCAGCCCGAATTCGCCCAAATTGACCAGTTTAAATTGAGCTTTGCTGTAAAGGACGAAAATTTAAAAATTACATATTTAATTACCTATGAAATGTGATTCCGTTTGTTTTGTATTTAGATGTTTTGCTGTTTTTCCCACACCACTGAATGGAACAGCCCTCCAAAGTTAGAGATTAAATTATTACAATAAATACAGAATATTTTTGGAATATACGGAGACGTACACACAGGATAGTTGTTGGCGCTGTAGTATTTCAGTTTTCTAATTTGTGATTTCCGCGTTAGCGAGAGTTGATATTTAAAAGTGATATAAGGCCCAATTACCTGAATGAGTTGCCAGGGGTGGATGGCTCTTATTTTGTCTCTAGTTCTGGTTATATACTCGATGTAAGCTAGCAATACTACGATGACAGATAGATGCTGGACAGTGGGACGTATACGTAATGATGATAATGCTTATGATGACTGATCACACAGGAGGTTACTTCGAAAACGGTGTCATTGTGCGCGGAGGGAGCGTTCACAAGTGGCGGCGCAGCGGAGTTATCTGCGGTGCTCGAGCGCCTCGGCTCCGAAGAGCCACCACTGCTGTGGGTGGGACCCGCGGCCGCCGACTCAGCGCGAATCCGCGACGCCGTTAGATACGCGGTCCTCGAAATCAATGAGCACCTCGAAACATATTTCGATAGACGAGAACATGCATTGGAGGTATGTTTGTGAAAAATTAAATAATATTCTATTTTTTGGAGTCTGTTCTATACGGAATGTCGTACGTAGCTCCGTACCCATGCAACTGGTGATCATACCAATAAGTTTTTAAAGTTTTTTTTTTGCTCAAATTGCTTATTATAACCAGTTCGATCACCACCCGCAGTCGATACTTAACGAAAAATGAAAGGTATGACTATTAGTACCTCTCTCTTACGTCCTTTATAGGATTGTCGCGAATTAAAGGGAGATTTAGTATTAGTTTGGTTATGGTGCCCAAGCGAAAGAAGTTAGCCCTGCAGTTCAGGCGCCAAAAACCTGAAGGAGTACACTTGTCGGTTCTTTAGGAGGTCCATTAATAGGACAATAATATTACGAAATTAGAAAATGCAAAAACAAAACATACTCCATTAAAGTCTGTTGTAATAGAAAACAATGTCGCTGAACTTAATTACATTGTGATAGAAACCTAGGCTTAGTGCAATGTGTTTTAAGTCCCTTAGTTCATTTTAAATGAACCAATCACCTAATGCTGAAGAGCCCATGTTCAAAAGTGACTGTTTTAAGATTATTACAGTATATCTAACTATGTAACATATTTTTGTGCAGGCATTAGAGCTGACACGTGGTTCGAACGAAGAAGTAGGCCGGTGCCTGTACAAGCTGATCTTTCAGCTACTGTTGCTTCTAGAGACGAATAACAAGATGGTGGTCGCTGTGTACCACGCTGCTTTAGATAATAGGGTAAGTTTATAGTTACTCCTCCTTATTGTGGTCGCTGTCTTCAGCTTACATTAGTGTGATAGCTTGAATACAGTGAAAACTAGACAAGGAGTTCTGCAAAAAAAAGATACTACAAAATTTTACTGTACCAATTCTATATGTCAACCACTTAATATGTGTAGTTTGCAAGAGTATTGTGTGTTTGAAGGAATTATATATATATATATATATATTATATTTTATTCTCATTTACCCAGTTTCTTAGACGTATAGATGTAAAATTTGCTTATTATTTGTTAACCACGTGTAGGGCGTAGAGATGAGCGTGGCGGTGTGCGCGGTTCGCAATGCATTGGCAGCCTGCACCGGCGAGTCCTGGGGCGAACATTCGCCGGCACCACATGACGATTCGCGGCTGCTTAACCTCATCCAACGACAACGGTATGCCATTCACCATTTAAAGTTGGTGTCTTCTCAATAAGTTTCCTTGACATTACGGAATCAGGAGGTGATTACATTTTTTAATAAGTTTAACCAAACAAATTATATTTCCTTCAAATGTATTACCTTCTAGGGAATGATATCAAAATCTCCCACAGCTGGAGGTTCTTATAATGAGCTACCGTTTTAAGAAATTTGTAACAAGGCAGACTATATGTATCGAGGACAGCGAAGGAAACGGCGGTTTAGGAAGGAAAAAGGTGTATTATTAAAGAGGAAACAGACAGTAAAGAGAAACAGAAGAAAAAGCAAGCACAGAGTATAAAAAAGGACAGAGACAAAGAGCTAAACATAGACTAATAACTAGAAACTCTAAAGAGGGTCTGTCCTCGACATCGCCCTCCTCGTAAACTAACAGTTTACCATAAGTAGCAGGCCGGGACAGACCCTAATACTATGCTACAACTATATAATGGAAAAGAAACAAAATAACTTAGTCACTCAAATTAACGTCCAGCTTTGCGAGCGTCCTGACTGGACGCCTTAAAATTCCACCAGCCGTACTCACGTCCGCTACCCTGACAATGTGGTCTCTACCGGGGCGGACTTTGACAATCCTGCCTTTAGGCCACACTCCTCGCGGTAGGTTACCATCGCATATCACGACGACATCGCCGACCTCTAAATTTTTGACGGGTGTATTGTGTCCTCTTCTTGGGTTCAACAGCGGTAAATACTCCCGCACCCATCGATTCCAGAAATTATCTGTGAGTCTCACGGCTTTTTTCCAATTGCATCGTCGTACCAGGTCGTTGTCCGTGAGATCTAGTGGTCCGGGGAGTGGAGACGATTGGCCCAAGAGGAAGTGATTAGGCGTTAGTGCTGGAGCATCCCGTGGCTCAACAGACACATGCGTCAGCGGACGTGAATTTATTACGCCTTCCGCCTCGAGTAGCAGTGTGTACAGGACCTCCTCCCGAGGTGCTCCTTTAGCGTTGCTGCAAGGGTTCGTTTGACGCATCCGACCAAACGCTCCCAAACTCCACCCATAGAGGGCGCTGACGGAGGTAGGAAGTGCCACTCGATCTGTCTGCCAGCTGCAAAGTCTGCGATAGTCGGCTGATGCGACTTCCACTCCCTCTGAATCTCGCGACTGGCGCCAACAAAGGCGGTCCCATTGTCGGAATAAATCTGCTTCGGACATCCTCGTCTGGACATAAAACGACGTAGAGCCATTATCGCGGAATCCGCTGACAAACTTCCCACAACTTCCAAATGGACAGCTTTCGTGGAGAAGCAGGTGAATAGGGCGATCCAACTCTTCTCTTTACGACGTCCTACAGCGACTTCCACAGGGCCGAAATAGTCTAAACCGGAAATAGAAAAGGGACGCTGGTGATGGATGAGGCGTTCAGCCGGCAAGTCTCCACTCCGTGGAACGGATGGCTTGGCTTTCCTGTTCTTGCAGATCTGGCAATCTGCAGCTACTGCTCTGACCGTGGGACGTAGATGAATGACCCAGTAGCGCTGCCGAAGTTCATTGACAACTATCTCGCGACCACCATGTCCAGCCCACACATGATAGTAGCTCACAATGAGCCGAGCTATGTAATTGCGTCCGTTCAAAACTACGGGTTGCTTCACATCATCCGCGACGTCGCTGACTGTAGAGGTTCGACCATCCAGGCGGTACAGGCCATCGTCGTCAAGCTTCGTCATAAGCGCTCCAAATGGCTCTCGCTTAGACTCTCCAATTGCCTTTGGCGCAGCAGGTGCAATTCAGCGTTATTAACGTCTCGGGCGAGTAGCGGACGCGGCCCTCGTCGTACGCGAGGACGTTTACTAAAAGCTTTTTCTCTAGTGAGGCGTAAAAACTGATGGGCTCGAGCTGTGGCACGGAGAAGCCGATACCAAGAAACAAAATCCTGACATTTTGGATGTACAATGTTGAAGGGCCTGGAAGGAGCTAACGTTAAAAAAGCTTTGACATTGTGATCACTGACTAGAGTACACGGTTCAGCGGGGAACTCTATTTGTCCCGACAATATGATGTCAGGGCCCCGTAGCCATCTGCCTAGCGAATCTATACCACCTGTCACGGTTCGAGTGGCATCATCAACCACATTAAGCTCGGATGGAATCCAAAACCACTCCTGAGGTTGAGTAAGCTCGGAGATTTCGCCAATACGATTTCTCACGAAGGTGTTGGGATCACCAGCAGGTCTCCGGATCCAAGCGAGGACGGTCTGTGAATCGCACCAGAAATATCGCTTAGTGGGCTTAATTCGGTGCTGCTCACAGATCGTCGTTGCTAACCTAGCCCCTAACAGCGCGGCTTGCAATTCAAGTCGAGGCACTGAAGATGATTTCAATGGCGCGACTCTGGATTTGCTCATGATAAAGGCAACTCTGGCGGAGCCGTCGGCGTAAACGAAACGCCAGTAAGAAACACAAGCATAAGCTTCATTACTTGCGTCTGTGAAGGAGTGCAACTCTCGATCAACATGACCAACAATGTCGGAATAGCAACGTTGGTATCGTTACAAACTTTACAGACTCCACGTTGCGGTACCATTCCCCCCAAAACTCGCGTTCAGCAGAGGGTAATACATCGTCCCACTCCTTCACTGACTACCAAGTCTTTTGAAAAAGAATTTTTCCCGATGTAATGACGGGACATAAAAACCCTAAAGGATCGAAAACCTTCATCAGATCTCGTAGCGCTTGACGTTTGGTCAACGCTTCGAGGTCTGGTGTACTAAAATTAGATTTGAATGTGAAGTTGTCATCGTGTGGTATCCAATATAACCCTAACACGCGAAAACCTGCACCCTCCAAATTTAGATCGACCTCTTTAATTTCGTCTTTGACTAAAATCGGCGGCAGGAGTTTAAGAGCTTCTGGTTTGTTGGAGATCCACGATCGCATTTCGAACCCGCACTGACTATGTACATGGACTATGTCAGCAGCGACCTGAGCCGCTTGTTCAAGATCATCATAGGAACCTAAATAATCGTCCATATAATGGTTCTTAACAATATCTTTGGCCGCGTCAGGAAACTCAAACTCAAAGTCTTTCGCGTTTCTGTTTTTTATGAAATTTGCAATGAAAGGTGAACACGACGCGCCAAAGATAAGCGATGACATTCTAAACTCCGTCACATGTCCAACGCCATTGGGCCGCCATAGATATCGTTGGAAATTACGGTCTTCACTACGAATTTTGATTTGTGGAAACATTTCCTTAATGTCACCTATTAAGGCGACTTGACCTTCGCGAAATCTCATCAAAACTCCTAACAAAGACAGTAAGAGGTCGGGTCCTGGAAGTAGTAGTGAATTTAAACTGACACCGTGAGTCTGGGCAGCGGCATCGTGGACTATCCTCAACTTACCTGGTTTATTGACGTTGGTTACTCCAAAGTGTGGGAGGTACCACCGCCTAGAGCTGTCGTAGGTAGGGTTATGGGAGTCTACACATTCCTCAGCATAGCCCTTCTCTGTATAAGAGTCAATATTTTTTGTATAGCCATCTAGGTATGAACTGTCGCGCTTAAAGCGCCTCGAAAGAGAAAGCAATCGACTGAGAGCGAGATAGTAGCTGTCTGGCACTCGAGGGTCGTCCTCGCGCCACGGCAGACCTACTTCAAACCTGCCATTCGGCAAGCAGCGCGTTGTCTCTTCTACAATTGTAACCGCTCGCTGCTCTAGTGACGTATACGTTTCGTGCTGCTTAATACCAATCGACTCTAATTTATAATAATCTCTGATAAGAGAGTTCAACTCCTCGTCCTTGTCGGACACCGAACAATGATTAACACAAGGTATATTCTTACTAAACTTCCGGCGGCAACCGTATAAAACCCAGCCAAGAACGGTGCGTATTGCAGCCGGTTGACATAACGACGACCCGAAACGACTGTCTTTACTTACTAAAAGGTGCCAGTCACAAATGCCAATAAGTACTTTAGGGGTCGCTCGCTCGTACGTCAACTCACTAGCAATATCGCTGAGATAACTAAACGACAGCACATCTTCTTGACGTACCGACTGGCTAGCCAATAATAACTTCTGTACTGTTCGCGCCTCACAAATATTAAAAACTTCAGAGCTATTTTTACCCCTGATACCAAAATTAACCAGTTTCGTAGTAACTTTTCGTGAACCTGACACACCGCCCATGAAAATATCTTCTTCGGGACCAACGAGCCCTAAAGCATCCGCCAACTCAGCGTCAATTAACGTAGTCGTAGACCCATCGTCTAACAAAGCATAGGTAAGTACTTCCCCACCTGGCCCGGATAATATCACGGGCACTATTTTTAATAAAATTTTACGGCAAGACAAAGCTTTTTCATTAATCGAAAAAGAGATTACATTACTCTCCGCTGAGACGATAGGTTCGCAACCTGCTTGGTCTGTTACGCCACGATTAAAAATGTTGTCGTTGATGTTGACATTTTGTGACACTGAAGTACTGTTGACAGCTGACGTAGAAAAATTTCCGTGAAATTATTATTGGGATGAGACGAATCTAAATGCAATAAATGGTGATGATTCGAACGACAAATGTTGCATGAATTGGCTTTGCATGTTCGCCAATTGTGCTTGCCTTTGCGAATGCACTTCGGACAAACTTTCGTCTGGCGAACCCACGACAAACACTCGTCAATGGAGAGTGAAATGAATTTGGGGCATGATTTTATTGTGTGGTCGGATGAACAAAACAAGCAAGTTAATTTGTTTGTTGTGGTGTGAGCGTGCACCCGGTGAAACGCGGCTGCGTCTTCGGCTTGTCGAAGTGAGGAATAGAGGTGCACAACAAAGGACTGGGGCTAAAACGAGCCCGCTTGCTAGCTTCCTGCTCCAGAAATGTTGCCAACAACTCCAGCATCGGCGTCTCAAGGTCGAAGTGATGATCCAAAAAATCCAACCACTTGTCCTGTAAATTTAATGTTAATTTAGCCAGAAGTGTACCAGTTCAGGTGAATAAATATATTCGTGCCTGTTTAATTGTTTCACTATGCACAAACATGTTTGTACTCGAGCTGAAAATGTGAAAATGTCGTAGTTCCGAGTCATCTTAGGCAGGGCGCGTATTGCAGCTATTTCGTAGAGAACGATCTGCTCTGGGCGCGCAAAGTTGAGCTCTAAAGCCCTTATTACCAATTCAGGGTCATCTGTTGTTAGGAGCAAGGATTTGACGGTCTCGCGCGCTGCACCACATAAAGCCTTACGCAGACGCGCCATATTTTCCCTATCCGAAAACGCAGCCTTAGTATCATCAAAACTCTTTTTGAATAAAGACCAATCCGAAATATTCCCTGAAAAACTGATTAGATCTATAATTACTGATTTAGGTCTATCGCAATTTTGTGCGAGTAAAGTAATAGCGTTAGCCAGACGACAAACTTCGCCTATTGGTACATCTTGAGGTTCGTGGCGCGCCTTCGCAGGTGACGCGGCACCTTCCCCGAAAGGTAAGTGGACGGCCGTCTCCCGCATGGTGCGTTGCACATCCTCACATAATAAATTAGATTGTGGTACCTTAATAACGCATGGTGACCGTGGAGGTTTGCACTCCGGCAACAGTGGCACAGACCTGACTTGCTGACCTTCCATAAGGCGTGATGGCGATCTCGCGGCGCTGCGGGTGTCATTTATCCATTGCGCCGTCCGCTTCATGGAAGTTGTCGTTGAGCAATTAGCAGTCTTATCTGCCTCAATCGCAGCGCTCTCAGCCTCGAGCTCTGCACGTGCGCATCCTCTTCAGCCTTCGCAACTTGATGCGCGAGCTCGGCAACCTTGCGCTTTAATTTGGCTTCGGCGGCCTTCTGCCGCGCCATCAAGGTCGCGCGCTGCGACGACGAGTTGGATGCTGGAAGAGATCTCTTATCCTTTCCTCCTCCCTCAGAGGGTGAGGGCTCCGCCATCTCTTTCGCTGCTTGCGCTCTCGTAAGCATAATTTTAAAATTTTTGAAAAACAGAAATTGAGATTAGTGGCTCCAACAGGACCGGGATTAATGGCTCGAAAGGACCAGGATATCGATGACAGCGAAGGAAACGGCGGTTTAGGAAGGAAAAAGGTGTATTATTAAAGAGGAAACAGACAGTAAAGAGAAACAGAAGAAAAAGCAAGCACAGAGTATAAAAAAGGACAGAGACAAAGAGCTAAACATAGACTAATAACTAGAAACTATAAAGAGGGTCTGTCCTCGACAATATGTAAAGGATTTGTAAAGGATTATCCTTTTTTTAGAAATAGCAACTTGATCTAATTTTTATTTCCAAACTGGAACCTCTCCTTTACACTTTTTTTTTCATGATCATACATTAATTAATTTAATTATAATTACTATTTAAAGTTAATATGTATTTTACTGAATGTCATGAAGTTCATCTATTTTTTGTGAAAATACTCCACTAATGTTAGTGATGCAAAGATCGAACAAACACGAAGAATAATTCCTTCGGTCCGGCTGGACTCGAATCAGCGACCTCGCCATACCGGGCTTGTCGCTCTTGTCGCCACTTTGTAGTTTACTGGATTTAGACTAGACTGTAATACCTATTTACCTGGTTCAAATATTCTCAATGTAGATAGTGAGTATACATATAAGCGGGTAGAAAGACACTGAATCATGATTAAAAACGTTCATAACACTACAATGTGCTAGGACGAGGAACCGTAGAGGTGTGCCTCGTATGTCGCGTACAAACCCCCAGCACATCTCACCTATGTACTGGGGCGGGACACCTTGAGAGGCGCCCCGAGTGGACCTCCAGCCCCCCCCTTTAGTCCAACTTCTACCCAACAGGTTTCAAGCTTCAATAGCTATTAATCGCGGTGCAAGCGTACATGCCAGTTACTACCGACCCGATTGACGCCAACGATAGGCACCCACAGTCATAAGCGTCAATGAGGCTAGTCTACTGCAGGTCGAGTCAGTACGTGGCAAATTGATAGTCATAGAACATGTTTCGTAACAATATTAAACTCGACAATCAACTTAGCCGAGTGTCTTTCCACCGTGTCATGCATACCGAAATGTTAAACACTACATAGAGGAACTTACCAGTTGTTTGTCTCTTAGGGTACATTCACTTACACATACATATCTTTAGTTTTAACCAAACTAAAGTGCACTCGGTTCCCGCCATTGCCGTTACTGCCGTCTCGATAGTGTCAAAATAAAAAGTTAGCAAAGCCAAAGCAGTGTTACCACAATACAAAAAATGGGTGAAGTTTGTTTACTCACCAAATGACTGAATAATGCGTGATTCGCGACAGCTCTCCTAACTAAGCTATACAACGAGTCAGCAGATCTTACGATATAATTATGTAAATTTAAATTGACTAGGCATGTCTTAAACTAAGATTATGGCCATGTGCGTAATTACTTTACATTAAAAAAAGTTTTTCCAGCTATATGATTTAAGATTTTTTTTTTAAATGGTATATCATCCTTTTTTCTTTTATAATGATAACGCACACAACGTAGTCCCGCACTAGGGAAACCCTGTGTCACGGGATACATAGACAATCACAAATTACACCCAAACTCATGAGAGAAATAAATGTAGGCCATGTAAATATTTCTCCCGGCCCAGGAATCGAACCTGGGACCTCTGCGTGGCATGGTAACCGTTCGGCTACGGAGGCAGTTGAACAGACAGGTCTAAAATATTGTCATCCATAGAATAAAATTGTATGACTACATAAACACCAACAATATTTATTTATTTATTCGTTATTAAATTGTTAGATCTGTCTAGTAAGTTTATGTTTGAATTGAACTCAAAGAATCAACACCATTATTGTATTTTGTTATCTCATCTACATGCGAAAAGGTCTCTTTAACAATACTACAATTACAAATTATCGAATTAGGTGGGGTGCAGCGTTAGCGCTGGTGCGTGAACGTAACGCTGAACGTATCCTAGAACACGGAGAAGTGCCGGAAGATGATATCACAAGCCTACTTCACGTATACTGCAAAGGGCTCGCTCAAGCGCATCCAGGTATGTACTAAAATATTAAAAAATAGATAATACTATAATTATGTTACTTTCGCAACTGGTTACGGACCACCGGTTACGTACGCGGCCGAAGGGATACTTTCACTGTCATTTCGATTACTCGCGTATAATTTAGTAGCGTACAGCTCCTTGTGAAAGAGTTGGTCCAGGGAAGTACTGCCACCTTACTATTTCTGTACTTGTCAACTTATGTGTCTTGGCAGTGCCCATCAGATCTTTGCTTTTTGATTTAAAGCTCTGAGTGGCACTGAAACTGCTATGATAGTCGCCTACCACCATGTGCACGACTTGTTCGTCCCGTCACTCGGTATCATAAAAAAATAAAAGCATTTGTCTTTTTCTGTCCTATTAAATGCTCTAGTGTGTAGAGACAAGAAACCGGTGCATGTATTATAATCAATATTACTATTCAACAGACATGGTTGCCATCACCCGGCCTGTGAACGAGCTGTCTCAAAACCTATCCTTCATGATGGAGAGCCTGTACAAAGTATCAGTGGCACTGCAGCGGCAGGAGTACGGCTGACCGACTACGCAATCACCCTTCCGCACGCCACTTCCACACCAAAGCATGCCTAGATAATAAAAAAAATAATAATAGAGCTTCTATCACTCAGTGCGTGCTGTACAAGTGCCGGTCTAACCAAAAATTAGTCACATAGTTTAGTATTCACAAATGATTTAAAAAAATCTTAATTATGCCCTAATAGTCGACAGTTCTTTCTTCACCGTTGTAATATGTCGACTAATTGACGATATTAACACAAAGATAGGAGTATGTAAAGGTCCCATATATTAGGAAATTTTATATAAAAAAGCAAATCTGGACTAGGGTGGTGGTAGAGTAGCGAAAGCGTAATTGAAGTATTAACGTTTGTACTAACTTAGTTCCGATTAACTGATCTCAGGATATTGCGAACACTACGTAAAAAGTTCATAGTCATAGTATTCTTGAAAATCAATACAATAGCATTCACTATGGCACCAACTTATTATAACATTAAAACAATTGCACTAGAGACACCACTAATATCACAAAAAAAGTTGGCTCTACTGAGGTAACAAAAAGGCCCGTGCGTAAGGAGTTTGACGCCGTGTGACAAATGACATTTTTCAATATATTTGCGTGAAAATAGAAGAAGAAGAGTTTCACTTTTGTTTTTATTCACTGACATTTGCGATGATCGCCATAATATTATTGTTATAAAACTGACACTGGCACAAGCCTAGTGGCCGCCACAAAGGAAATAATAATGATTATAAGTTTCACAATATACATTTTCATAAATCGAATATTTTTTCTACATTTCGAAGGCAAAGTATCTTTTGCAACTTGACGTTTCACATAAAACGTCGGGACGGATTGATCATGATTGCTAATCTCTTAATGCACATAAATTATTTATTACTTCATTATAATTTCTTTGAAATATTCAACGCAAGCAAAGGAGTAACAATAATATTATAACAATAGTTCGAATAGTTTTACGAAGATGGATTTTTTCTTATTACACGCATGCGCATTCGGTAAGGACTGTTTGTATTTGAAACAAAACTCCGCTACAACCAAATATTTTATAAGTGAAGAAAGTGCGTTATGATACTTCGCTTACAAATGGCACCATATTGAAACATCACAATAATAAGTAATGAGAACTCTAAACCTTACCGTTTGACAAAGAGCAGAATCAAAAATGGCACATCTCGGAAAGACACTTATCTATTTAGACATGGATTATTTTTATTACTGACCGAAAAAATTATATGTAAGCGGAAGTAGCAAATAAGTTACACGTTTATATAGGTGAACTTCGGACAAATAAGTTACATGTATATACGGACAAATAAGTTACATGTTTATGTAGGTTAACTTCGGACATTTTATTTCGTTATTTTATATTAGATCCAACGTCCATTTTTTGGTAGGTCAATGGTTAAAACATTTAAAATCTGACGTAAAATAAAAGCAATTTGGCGAATACATAATTTATTCCTAACAATAAGAAAGTTCTTGCTAGTAAACTTTTGATTTAAGCTTGCAGAAAAGACCTCTTTGCCACGATGAGAAAAGTAAATGCTTTTCCGTGGCCGAGTAGAAAATAATAACATAGTGTAATAACATACTTTTCGCACGCTTCACTGCTATAGAAAGTATATATTTTCGAGCAAATGTATTGAAATATAATTCTTTTTTGTAAAGATATTTGTTATGAGTACGATCAATATCGGTCGGACCACATTGTTGCACTCTGCGTACGCGTTTTTTGCTTCCGTCATAGAATATTATCCGAAATCGAGTGATACTTACAATCATTACCGCAAGTGAAGGACGTTTGTGTCCGCCAAACGATTCCCATACTGTATTCATATACTCTCGATTGTTGCAGTGAGGAACAAGCTCATGGGTTTTTGGACAAACTACCCTCCGTTTGCGTTTATAACTTACAATTTGACATACTATTTTAGTTTTACAGTTTGACACACTGTGTGAGTAAGTTTACGTTTCATCCATCATATTATAGGACTAGATCAATCATTCTTTGTAGTTTATTTAATATAAAATTAACCTTACTTATTGATCATTTACTTTTTTGCTTTCAAAAAGATACATTGAGTGATAATGCATTTAGTTGTAGTAAATATAGTTAAATTTCTGAGGCTATATAACTTAAGCGTATAACTTAATTTCAAAGTCAAATCTTCTATAGCTTGGAACGCTAAAAGTATGGAGTAGAATGATTCATAATACTTCGTAGGCCGGCTTGTGTCCAATTTCACTAAATCCTGAAGTCGACAATTGACTTGAACGACTGCATGAATGACATGTATTTTGGTGTGTGTTGCAAAATTTGCTGAGCACACAGTGGCTTGTTTCCAAAATAGAGAATTTAATTTGTTGTGGCTGCTTATCCTCAAAAGTAAACATTACGAGATATAGGATGTCACATATTGATAGTTTTCGTCGTCGACGTCATCTAAGCCGAAAATAAGTAATTTGTGCGAATAAACATTAATTTGGCGCTTAATGTGGTACAATTACTCTTCAATGTTACCATCATAATCTACCACACTCTTTCAAAATAGTAGTTAAGGTCGGTCTTCGCCTTGTTTAGTATTTAATACTAATGTTTTGCTATGTCTTATCCTACCATGGTGCTATCATCACTTTGACATACCCAATCCAATTTCAGGTCCAAATATAAAATGAATTTTTACTTTGGTTAGTTAGAAGAGAGGTTTTGACAGATCATTATTAGTGAAAGGCTATTTCTACTAAATAACATTATTTAGCGCCAAAATATTACATATATATACAAAGCTCTTGCAATTGTTTTCATTAAATGTAAATAAATTTGAAACAGCTTATATCTCGAAATGGCTTCGTTTTTCAGATGAAGATATTGTTTATTTTTAAGTTAAGTATTGTATAAAAAGGCTCGAATCATTTACATTTACCCCACTACTCTTTACTAAACAACAACTTTGTCCTGTACGAATACACTTAAGACTACGATTGACCTAAAACGACTGCATAAACCTAAAGCAGCTTTGACTTTTGAAAGCAATCTTGTGAAAATAAATAAAAGAAATATATAATACTAGTATAAAATAATATTAGTTAGGCACACTAATGAACTAATATAATTGTTTTCTATAATTTCTATATAACTTTAGAGTAAGAATGCATTAAGCGGTTACAGCATGCGGCATCGGCAGCGTTTTACCAGTATTCATGAGTATCACCTTTGTATAAAACCGTCCAATGCGCACTTACTCTTAAGGTAGATGACGACGTTATTTTGAACAAATTTCTTGCATAATTTTTTGCGATATTTAACATTGTTTGTGATATTCTTTTTTTTTATAATGACAATTTTTATTTCTTATTATATTTTGTTGTAGAGTAGTCCTTTGGCGTACAATAGCGCCACTTAAATGATTTCAATAACTTGATAACAAGTTGTACGTGTATCGATTAATTTATGAAAATAAATTATGTAAAATTCAAATTAGTTTTATTCAACATGTTTACTGAAATCATAATATATTAAGAGTTCTTAAGCTTCTTACAAATGCGTTTTCCGATAAGTATAATTGATGGCTCTCGCACAATTTGCAATTAACACCAGCCCGTTACACCAAACCAACCATTTATATGAAGCTAACAAAAACAGTAGTACAACGCCTCCGGACCACCGTTAATTATTTTAACAGCACAAAAGATCCCTTTACAACATTTACCAGAAAACTAATTTCGTACATGTATATGGCAGCCATATTATAATACGGGTTAAAGTATGAAATTGCCGATTTGTACTGAAAATCTAAATTGTTTATTTTTTAAATTTTTAACAAATTTATTTAATCAAAATAATTGCCATTATTATCTATACATTGCTGCCATCTAATGGGAAGGTTATTAATGCCTTTGCGATAGAACTCCGACGATCTAGACTGCACAAACTGTGTGAAAGCATTTTGTACTGCCTCCTGGGAAGAAAACTTCTTGTCACGTAGATAATTGTCCAAATCACGAAAAAAATGGTAGTCCGTTGGAGCAAGGTCTGGTGAATACGGAGGATGACGAATGGTTTCTAACTGCAGTTCCTGAAGGGTCAAAATGGTTTCTCGTGCTGTGTGAGGTCTCGCGTTGTCGTGGAGCAATAATGGTGAAGATCGATTCATGAGTCGGGGCTGTTATACTGCTAGTTCTGTCAACATGGTTCGGAGTTCGGCACAATAGACATCTGCCGTTATTGCTTGACCAGATCGGAGAAAACTACAGGGTGACTGGTTGAACGAAATAAATATTTAAAGTGGCGAATGAGTAGCTGATACCCATCCAGAATATGTAAAAATATCGCCCCAAAACATTATAAAAAAAATATATCGTACCATTTTACAAATACTAATACTCTGTTCGTTTGAGCTACTCTACGAACAGCCGATTGTTAGGAAAATGAACCGCCCGCCGCCGCGCCGCGCCCCGCGCTACGAGCGCGTGTCAAGCCTCTCTCGCTTAAAATGTTTTAAAAATAATTCCATTTTCCCTTCATACTTTGATTTTGGCTTAGGACAGGCAAAAATACCAATTAAACTACGATAAATTATTTTTTAAAGTATACACAATATTTTAGGCAGTTGTAAAACACAAACTAAGCTAGTAGGTATGAGCATGGTTTGGTATTTTTGGCGTATTTAAAAAATGGAATCATACCTATTTACAATAATTAATTTTGATTAAATTTACAAATTTACAGCAATCTTAACAATGTACGGGTGAAGACCGTCTCTGTGTAAGAGTTTCCACACTGTCCATTGTGACACTCCGAATCGTCTTGCTGCATTTCGAGTACTCCGGGGTGGGTCATGCTCAAAGTATGCAAAAATCGCTTCTTGTAGGTCCACTGGATACGGATCCCTTCCTCGCCCTTGAGCATGCGAGGGCATAGTGAACTGCCCAAAAGTCCTCAAACGAAAATTGAGTCCTAAACATTAAAGTGTAAGATGGAACTCGCCGATTAGGGAACATTTCACGGTACAGGTCCCTAGCACCACTAACTACATCATTTGCCATAACATAACACCGTATCATGTCCCAATACTCCTCATTTGTGTAGTGATAAGGCATCGTTATGTGTCACTGCACTCCACGGAATTACACAGTTGAATAGACCGATGTATCACGGAAAACAAAGATCGGCGCGGCGGCGGCGGCGGCGCGTGCGTTTAATCGCAAAATCACAACGTCCTGACTTACAGAAGGGCGTAAGCGAACTAAACTAACCCGGCGGACGGCGGCGGGACGCGCGGGCGGGATTGGGGTAGCCGGCGCAAGCGGCCTTCAACGAGTAGTGGCGGGGGTGTCTAATGCACATGCGCAGAAGATTTTGTTTTGACGAACGCGGTGTCACGCGCAGAGTAATACAAAATGTTAGAGCCAGTATTTTCTTTAAATAAAAATGTTTAATATTTTTTTTTACATAGTCGTGTTATTTTTATATATTCGGGATGGGTATCAGCTACTCATTCATCTCTTTAAATATTTATTTCGTTCAACCAGTCACCCTGTATAGTGAATAACACCATGCTGAAACCACCAAACAGTTACCATTACCTTTTTATTGGTAAGTTTTGCTTTAGGACACTGTTGTGGCATTTGACCTGGGGTCAGCCATTGCATTTTTCTTTTCCGGTTATCATAAAGAATCCACTTTTCATCACATGTTACAATTCGATCCAATATTCCTTCATTTCTGTACCGGTTCAACAAGGCAACACAAGTTTCAACACGCGTTTCTTTCTGCAGATCAGTCAAATCATGAGGCACCCATTTTTCGTATTTTTTTATTTTATTGATTTGACGCAAGTGAGTCAATATTGTGGGTAAGGTAACGTTAAACCATGCCGCTAATTCCTGGGTAGTTTGACTAGGATCGGCTTCCACTATCTCTCTTAATTCATCGTTATTCACCTGTGTGGGCGGTCTTCCTCGTGGCTCGTTCTTTAAGTCGAAATTTCCATCACGAAAGCGTTTAAACCAAAATCGCACGGTGCGTTCATTAGTAGACCCCTCTCCAAACGCAGCATTGATATTGCGGGCTGTTTCTGCCGCGTTAGTTCCGCGTCGGAACTCGTATTCAAAAATCACTCGAATTTTCACAGTATCCATCTTTCTTGTCTAAATCGAATAACAAAAACAATTGAAAGTGGATATTCAAATGTTTCAAATTTAAAAAAAAAAATCACAGAAACCATTTGAAAAAAGTTTCATTCGAAAACCTCAAATCATGAAGATTCTATGAAAATTCAAAGAACCTATTGCAATAAAACGGCAATTTCATACTTTAACTCCTAATATATTCCATTATGGCTAGCCGCTTTGCAAAACGGCGCCGTTTTCTAATACGGCTGCCTCGTGTTCAGCCTGAATGTGGTCACGATACGTTCTACGAAGCGGCGGCCTACGTTTAGCCACATTGTTCATAAGGAAAATATCACCCCGACTATGAATTATGCACAACAGATACAAAAAAGTCATTGATTTAAAAAAATAGAAGTACGTACGTTACTGTCTTGTGGCGCAAGGTAAGGCACAAATTGTCAACTTATTTAAGGAAAAGTAATTTTGAGAAGAGAAATAATTTGTTACTTATGTTCACCATTATTCACTATTTTCGTATATTGTTACTTTTTCCACTGCTAAACCTAATATTGTTTGCATTTTGTCGAGACAGTCGCTGTTTACGACGCAATTAAGTATTATAATGAATTAGAGGACCACTTGCCATTTTCGTCAACTGGTTAAGATTTAGTTGGTCAATGCCAACTAAATCTTTAACTCGTTAATTTGCCCAACTCGTTTTTCTGATCAGTCATTTTCGGCAACTGGACAGTATACATAACGTACAGCCAGGGAAAATATTTTATACATGTTTTCGGGTAATTAAAAAAAAACTTATGTGAGTGACAATTCGAAATATTGTGTTTATTAAACAAATAAAAAGAAGTAGTAGTAGTTAGAAGTTCAGGTCAAAGAGTTTTCATACAGTAATTTCATAATACATCGTCGGTGTAAAGTGGTACCTACAGATTGCTCATTTGTATGAATTTTTGCTTAAATTATAAAATGAAACTAAAATTCATAAACACTGTATAATTTTGTACATGACTGTACGAACAATGACAAATGACCAGTTGAGGAAAGCGATCAGTTAAAGAAAATTTCGAGTTAGGGAAAATGGCGACTTAAATATTTTCACATAATTGACGAGTTTCAAAATTGACCAGTTGACGAAAATGGCGAGTTGTCCTTTATTTCATTATATGACTATATCTACCTAATTTGTGATCGGGTGGATATCAATGCGTCCCTATTCCAGGTGGTTTTGAAATTCGATTAGTCAGGTAAAAAGTTAGTCAGTTCTATAGTTGAAAAAAAACTAGATTTAGTCGGTCCGTTGTTCAAAAGTTGTACGGCCGTTTTACTGTCCAAACTGGAACAAGTTTATTCCAGTGGCATCATTCTTCAATCTCTAGAACACCACTGCACCTAGGATAGATCTGATTGCACTAAAAAAAGTCATGATTTAATAGATGCTAGTCGCAAAAATCTGGATTTAGTCGTTACGCCATTTAAAAATTATAGTAATGCTTCACTGTCTAAAGCTTACTCCGGTTTTACCATTTTTTAACCTCGAGAACTACAACTAGCTAAGATCTGATTGAACCCAGAAAAAGTCAAATTAGTCGATTCTGGTCGCAAAATTCTGGAATCTTTGTTTAGTGCAATCAGAATCATCTAAGCTGCAGTCGTTCTCAATAATGAGGAATGGTGCCACTACATTAAGCTTATTCGAGCGTGGGCAGTAAAGCACCCTTATATTTGAACGGTGGACAGACTTAATCTAGTTTTTTGCGACTAGAACCAGCTAATAGCGACTTTTTATCTGACTCCAACTTCAAAAATTCGACTGTGGTCGCGCAATCACAGCAGACACAAGAGACATTATAGTCTTGCAGTAATCACTTAAAGCACGAGAAATAAACGAAATCATATTTCCAATAAGCTTTATTGATGCATAATTTACTTAAGTCCATGTATAACTGGAATACTAGGTAATCATTAAATTTCGGTTACATTACACGTTGTCTAATCTGAAACGTTATAAAACTTTTTGTCATTAAATAGATTGAAACTGCTAAAATTTACCTACAATACTATTTTCTAAAACCCTAGGCTCAGTCATTGGAATTTTATGGATACAATAATTATTACAATGAAATGTAAACACCACTATAACACAATTTAATTAATTAGTTATACGGACATGTATATACGATTTGAAAAAATACACGTGAGAATATATATACAGCATGTCACTGCGCGAATACTATCTGGAACCAGTTATGGTCAAATTGAATTGCACTGGTCAGTGAGAAAATTATAATGTAAAATAACACATTAACAACTGCTCCAAAACCTGGACATTAGGAAAAAGTACTGTACCAAGGTCTGTTATATTTTAATATTATATTGTATTGTCCTTTCGGCCGAACAAAATCTGAACTTTAAAAAAAGTACTTAAAAAATATTATAAATATCATTGGGCATTGTGATTTTACATTGGCAGGAAAAATTTTTTTGGTAGGTAATCTTAAACGACAGGTAATCAAAATTTGCTTAAAAGTACGTGCAAATCTTCATCGTTGCTCATTTTAAATTGACAAACTTGTTGGCCCACATTCCAGAAACTACTAACACTAATAAAATACTTGTGTAACAACGTATAAGTATAATAATAGACGTGTCCTACATATAATTTTATAACAACATTAATAATCGAATGAAATTGTTGATAAAATTCTATAGTGATGAGTTAATTCTATCGCGAGAAAATTAATTACAATAAACTTTTATATATATAATACATACTTATTCTACGTATCATATGAAATTAACATTATTTACGAGAGTGAATTAAAACAGTTTTTAGGAACACATGCTACTATTGACATAAAATTACTAATATTGTGCAGATGTAGGGGAAAAAGGAGTTACGTGCTATGTATTGCTATGATTAAGTACCCTATGCTTGAAAACTCTTCCACTTAAGAAATCTATTTGGATATTCAATAAACATTATAGGAAGACGTTTCTCCATTCCACAGTCGCTTATTGGGTAGCTGAATTTAAGAGGTAGGTTAAAATATCAAAAAGGTTGAAAAACTTATTTTGGAAGACAGACAAACAACCATGAAACATTTAGCCGAGATCCTATAATTTAATTTAATAGCGTTCAATTAATTTTATTTCACGATTTGTGGTATTCAAAAAATTTCGGAGTACTACGAATGTTAATAGACGAATATAAAAAATGATGTTTGGCCATTTCAAAGTATAACATTAAAATATTCTAGGGGGATCGGGATTTCTTGTCATCGTGTTGTCACCATGGATGATAGTGAGTCCACCATTTGGAGCCCCGAAACTCAAAGAAACACGTCTTGGAAATGACCGTCTCCGCCTGTGATGATTTTTCAAGTTGCTTCTTCAACTGGCAAGGTGATTGTTTGTTTCTTGCTTTTTATTGATTACATAACAACAATACACGATTACTGGACCCCATTAGGAAAATTTAATCAGAAGCGCGTGAAGCTATTAAACAAAAAGTGTTTTTTTATCATGATAATTGACAACATATCTGCTCATTTATCAGAAGTTGCGCTGAACGCTATTCACAGGTGGCTTTGACATTCTTAACCACCCACCAAATTCATCGTACTTAGCCCCTAGTTTATTTTACATATTCTCAAAACCAACGGAGCATATCCATAGAACAAACGTTAATGAAGATGACGGAGTTATGGGTGCCTTAATGCACTTATTCCAAAATCATAAAAATATTATTTTTGTTTGACAAGAAACATTGATTTTAGGAAAGCGAAAATGTAAATGTATAAAATTAGAAGCCCGGAAATAAATGAAATATTTTGTTTCATTTTTGTTTTGTATTTTCATAGCGATACTAAAAACTTTTTGTTTCATGTATTTGTACAGTCAACAGCACGTCAAGCTATACACTTTTGTTTGAATATCACCTACGCTCCAGTGCAACGGAATAACATCCGTCAATGTGTAGCTTAATGTGCCGTCGTCTGTACATACATGGAAGATTTTATATTGTTAAATTAACCAGAATATAAAATAATAAAAATGTAATAAGTACGTATCAGATTATTTTGGAAATGTTTTTCTCCAGTTGTTTATTTTTTGTACAAAATAAACGACTAATAATAAATTAATCTCTAATTACAGGTTTCTTACCACGGTATGACTTTTTACTATTTTCCCGTTATTTCGGAACGGTTTAACGCTCCGCGGCCACAGGTGTGATGGTAAGAAACCTTTAACCAGTGAAATAATTCATTCAGAAAATATTACGAAAGTAAAAAATCTATTTTTTTTATAACTTAAAGAATATACAATCAACTACTCTTTTCGCATCAATTTGTAAATGGTTACTGTTTAATTATATTTATGCAAGATGAAATGCATTACTAAATACAGAGTACGAATTCGAGAATCGTAAAATAACAAATGAAGTTGATAACGATAACAGCTCATCTTGACGACAATGCATGACTGGTGCCACATGATTACCGTGTTTCATTCATCTAAACGATTATTACACTGCTGTCTTTTGGTCACTTTACCACAGCGTTCGTCAATGCTCTAATTTAAGATATTCGTACCGTCAAACTACTGATAGGGCTCAGGCCCGTCCACCTAATAGATAGTGGTAAAGGCCAAATATTCTCGTGAGGTTTATGCTAAAAACACGTCTTTGATATGTCAAGGTAAGATGCGTTGCCGGCCATAGGCAATAATTACGTAGGCCCTCTACCCAAAATTGGACGTAAAAATACAACAGTGGTAGACGCCAACGCGGGCTTTATACAGATAGAGAACCTTGCCTCCTCTAGGAGTAGTGTTCGAAAAGTCCTAGATTGATACCAACGATAACCGATCCAGACTAGTCAAAGGCGAGAAACTCTTGACACTAGTATTCGCTCTAATCACCCGTCATGGCATGGGCCGTCACGTCAAGGCTACCCTTCTAAATAGCTTTAAATGGAGCTAATATAAATCTTACATTAATACGTATTACAATGAATTAAGGTTAATTAATAACCGTAAAATAATACCCACATTCAAATCTCTCCGTGTAAATGTCGTGCTGTAAACTAATCAAACTGCAATTTATTCTTGATCTGAAAGAAGCAATAAAGTGTATATCTTCTCAATTCACGTCTGGAAAGTGGGAAAGTTACATATGTTACGTATTATGTGCAAGAGGCCGCTTTGCGGTCTCCAATGTCATACATAGCCAAGCTACGGCTTGTCTCAAAACGAAACAACAACAAAATGGGCTTTAAGTATTGTTTTGAACAATACGCAACAGAAGCCGAGCCGAAACTATAAAATAGTTAACAAAAACCTTGACATATGCATACATATAAGTATAAATAATATAATACAGCCATAGTGTACAAATTAATCTTGCTTACAGTCGTCTTTTATCCGTATATTTTGTGAACATGTAGTATTGATTTAATTACGTAAATGTTGTGACATATCAAAATCTCATACATTGAATGAAACTAAATTCTCAGGCACATCTAACCGCCCACCATTTACATATTATTCCCGTAGCAAAATATTTGATGAAACTCCCTCAGGAACCAGGATTATTTCTAGGAATTTTACTCACATGGTTTTACCACACTAAGTGATTTCAAGTTTCAGGTGAAAGGATAAAAAAATTAGATCACATTGTAAATGACTTAGGCGAACATACCGCATATTTTGCCACTGTTTGGTCGATTAAAAAGAGTATTACAGTATTATTTTCAACCATTTTTTAGGAGAAAAGTAAAGGCTTTTTTTATTTTATCGTGATTTACGTGACATTATTTTTTTATAAATGTAAATGACCTTTAATTTAAAATAATAAGGTCGCTAATTAAAAAATCTTAATGAAATTGTTAGATGTGCCAATGAATGTATAGAATTTCAACGTAATTATTATTAAACGCCATTGATTACTACGCACGTATACCCATTATTAAAATGTTAATCCAGGCATACTAAAATTACTATATTGACTGTGAACTGGCAACCGGTACTATCTCAATTTTGACAACTTTATAGGATGAAGAAATAAACAGCATCTGGTTTATTAAATAAAAATACGTAGTTTTTAAATATTTTTATTACACGTGTATGTATGTACACTACGTATTTTTATTTAATAAACCAGTTGCTATATAAATGACGCAAACAATTTTTTTCTTCACCTGTAAAGTTGTCAAAATTGAAATAGTACCGATTGCCAGTTCACAATCGATATATTTTTGATAATGATAAATGAGAGTTAATGTCGAGATCAATAAATGCTAAGCTACATGTATATTTTTTTATATAATAACAATCTCTATGCGCTATAGTTTAATAACATATTTTACTAGGGGTATATAAACAGTTGATAGCAATTAGAAAAATATTTTTTTAAAGATAGTTTATGAAAATATCTCCGTGAAGTCAACAGTTTTGATAAATTCTATAAATGCTCTATAATATCAATTGGCTTATAACACTGCATTAGTTTTTTAATTCTCAATTATGTGTATGTCATTTATTTACAATAAAACTTTGAGTCCGATAATGAAAGATTCGACGGTGAGCGCTAATGTGATTACGATGGCCTCGACTATCGCGGCTGCAAATTCTAAGACGAATAAGGTAAATATGTGCTGGTAGGTCCTTATTCGCCAGCGGTTTTCTTGTCATAATCACAACTCATCTTTCACCTTCTTCTCGTGGCTCTTACAGAACGCAAGCATGTCGTCATATGAACGATCGCCTTCATACAGTGCCAATTGCTTTCCAGCAGCGTATATCTTGAAAGTAGGCAAGAGTTCGACTGAAGCCATATCGGCCACTTTAGGGTTTTCCGCTGCGTCTACTGCAATCGCTCTGGCAGTGTAATTCTTGTCAGTTTTAAGAGTCGTCGCTAATTTACTGAAAGCGGGCTTAACGGTTGAACAATGGCCGCAAACTGAAATAGAGACTTTTTTTACTCCTGAGGCCCGGTGTACATAAAAATGTACATAATATGTAAAGTTTAGTAGCACTAGAGTTCCTTGTGAAAGAGTTTGTCCAAGGAAGTACTGTCACCTAACCTATTTCTGCCGCCGAGCAGTGCTGTCAGCATTACTGTGTTCCGGTTTTGAAGGGTAAGGGTACTGGTGAAATTACAGGCACATGGGACTTGTCAACTTATGTGTAAGGGTGACGGGCGCAATGACAGTGAGCCTCAGATCTTTGAGATTTAAAGAGGTGAGTAGCAGCTGCAGCTGTTATGGACAGGCGTGTAGCTTACCATCAGGCGCACGACCAGTTCGTCCCGTCATTTGATATTATGAAAAAAAAGTGATTCATACCCAGACAATACTATTTCTATGATCACGTAAACGCCCAATGAAAGTATAGCATTCAAATTTAGTGCTATATATTCTATTTGACTAAAGGTTATCTGGAAAAGCACGCTTTTCATACAAAACAAAGGGCATACTTGTACCTGAATTATGTTTAATTACAATTACATTGGGCGTTTAGCGCTTTTCACGTTGTATGTTGTTGGGTCTTAGAAGGACATGTAAAACTTACAAGACGCGTAGAACATAACGAAGGTGGGCGACTTATTCTTGATGATTTCCTCGAAGTCGTCATCACTAGCCAGCTGCACATTGATGCCGAAGCCTGCCTCAGACGGCGTGCTGGCTTTCGCCTGTGTAAGGTGATCCATTTGGCTGTGGATAAACGACACAAAATCCGCTTCCTGCAACAACAAATGTTCGACATTAGTAGCAGTAGAGCTCCTTGTGGAAGAGTTCATCCAGGATACTACTGCCACCTTACCCATTTCTGCCGCCAAGCCGTAATGTGAACATTACTGTGCTCCGGTTTTCAAAGCTGGTAAAATTACTGGCACATGGGACTTGTCAACTTATATCTCAGGGTGAATTCAAATTTGATTGGTAATAATAATGTAACCAAACCAAACATATAAAAATGTCCTACATTTAGAGACAAAAAAATAAAATGTATATTTTTCCATACAAAACCAAAGTACTATCCACAAGAATATTTGAGGCTATCCGCGCAAAAGTATTGTAGTCCACATTTAATTTTTGTTCCACGATATTACTTTATACGACACTAAAGCTCATAATTGTTATATATTTGGATGCTATTTTATTGTACAAAAAAAGCAAATAAATGTGTATTAGTCATACATGATTACAATATAATAAACGAATTTGGCTAATTTTAAATCACAATGATAATGAGGACAGAAGATATTCTATATGCATTTCATGGGGTTACAGCAATTACGCGCTGATAGCCTCAATTATTCCTGATCATTATTTACTACAGTCTGTATTTTATGAAAAAGGAGTAAAATGACAGTTCTTTGTCCAAAGGTATTGCCTGCTTACATCGAGTATATAACCCGAAATAGAGACAACTCATCCCTGGCAACTCATCAGATAATTGGGCCTTATTACACTTTTAAATATCAACTCTCGTTTGCGCTGAAATCACATATTAGAAAACTGAAATAGTACAGCGCCAACAACTACCCTGTGTGCACGTCTCCGCATATTCCAAAAATATTCTACATTTATTGTAATAAAGACAATACCTCTAATTACAAAACAAACGGAATCACACTTCATCGATAATTAAATTTTAAATATGTAATCTTGCAATTTTCGTCCATTATAGCAAAGCTCAAGTTAAACTGGTCGATTTGAAGTGAAACAATTGACGACACCCGTCAATTGTTTCGAATTCGGGCTGGCCAATCGGACCGCAGTTGTCACAGAAATGATTTGGCATAATATATAGTAGAATAGTTTTCAAACAAATTAAATGACATTAACATTAATTAGGCAATAACGCAATTAGTAATCATCAGAACGTCGTAACATTCACAATTTAGACATTTTTGGTAAAATTTTACCTTCTTTCACAATCCATGCAGTTGTTGTACATAACAGCTTAAAATTTTGTGAAACTGACAACTCCGCAAATGTCGTTTTACTCCAAGTCATTTTTACTCCTTCAAAAGAGACTATAGATAAAAGCACAGTACTGACCTTTCTACCGCCGGTGTAGTCCTTGACCTGCTTGTCAAAATAGCTGAAATACTTGATGGTGGGATAGCCACTGACATCATGTGCCGTGCACAGCTCTTGTTCGGCGGTGCAGTCCACCGCACCGAACGCCACTATCAACTCATCCGCGAACCTCTCCGCCGCTTTTACGAATTCGGGTTTAGTGCTTTTGCAGTGTCCGCACCCTGGCATGCATAAGCAAATACAGTTATGGTATACAGACCAGCAACTTAAGTTAACTTACTGCTGGTTTTGACATCAATGTTTAGTTTGTCAGCTGGTAACATGGCTAGAGGAATGCAAAGTCACTTGTCAATCTAAAAATAACTTGTCAGGTAAAGATTACACAAGATACAAGATTACAGAAGTATTTGTAATGTAGGAAAATAATATTATGGTTTGTTTATACATTATTAACTGCCTACGTGGCCGAACGGTTACCGTACCGGACTGCCACGCAGAGGTTCCCGGGTTCGATTCCCGGGCCGGGAGAAATATTTGTATGGCCTACATTTATTTCTCTCGTGAGTTTGGGTGTAATTTGTGGTTGTCTATGTGTGTATCCATGGCACCAGCGACACAGGGTTTCCCTAGTGTGGGGCTATGTTGAGTGTGTGCGTTATTATTATTATTATTACATAGGGCCGATTGCCGCCTTGGGCAGACCGCTTTGCCGGGAGTGGCGCAGACGACGCTTTGTTTACACCAAATCGACTGCCACCTTCGCCGAAATCACCATGTTATTATAAATACAAGTTTACACTATCGACAATAACAAATCGTTCGAAACGTTCAACAAACTGATCGAGTTAGATGTGTGACGATCGTGTTCGAAATCAAAATTATTCGAACGGCACCTGTGACCCCAGACGCGAGTCTCAAACCTGATCATTTTAGAGTTTCGATCAATATTGTTTAACCAACGCGACGTCATACTCGCAATATTGGGTGCGCCTCGTGTGAAATTCAAGTAATTTTATTATTAATTTTCAAATTAATATTCATTCAAGATAATTTTTAACTTGAACAAAATTCAATTCCAATAAGTCAATTTAATATAATTCTCATATAATACTCACATTTTATAAGAACAATTTATATGAAGCTATCGCGAATCACGCGATAATCAATCATTTGGAGAGTAAACGAACTTCATCCATTTTTTGTATTGTGGTAACACTGCTTTGCCTTTGTTAACTTTTTATTTTGACACTATCGAGACGGCAGTAACGTCAAATGGCGGGAACCCAGTGCACGTCAGTTTGGTTAAAACTAAAGATATGGCTGTGTAAGTGAGTCTACCCTAAGAGACAAACAACTGATAAGTTTCTCTATGTACTGTTTAGCTTTAAGACATGCATAGACACGATGGAAAGACACACAACTAAGTTGATTGTCGAGTTTAATATTGTTACACGTGTCACGTGCTGACTCGACCCGCAGTAGACTAGCCTCATTGACGCTTATGACTGTGGGTGCCTATCGTTGGCATCAATCGGGTCGGTATTAGCTGGCATGTACGCTTTCACCGCGATTAATGGCTATCAAAGCTTGAAACCTGTTGGGCAGAGGTTGGACTAACGGGGAGGCTGGAGGTCCACTCGGGGCACCTATCAACGTGTTCCGCCCCAACACATAGGCGATATGTGCTGGGGGTTTGTACGCGACATACGAGGTGTTATGAACGTTTTAATCGTGGTTCAGTGTCTTTCTACCCGCTTATATGTGTACCTATAAATTAAGTATCTTTTGTCGTCCCTCAACATCTACATTGAGAATATTTGAACCAGGTACATAGGTATTACAGTCTAGTTTAAATCCAATAAATAACAAAGTGGCGACAAAATTTGGTGAAGGTGCTGGGATTCATTGACAAACTTACGTTGACTAAAACATATAACGATGGGAGTCGGACTCTTTACCGGTCGCGCTGTAATCGAGCAGTGGCACTCGATCCTTTCACTTCACTGCAAACAAGCAACGATAGGACACCGATGGAGTTCGAAACAATTTTAACGTAGGAATAAGGCGGTTTATGTGGTTGTTACATTCTCAGTTACAGACAACGATATCTGTGACGCTAGCGAGAGCCGTTCAACGCGGTTATTGTGACCACTTAAAATAATCTTATGCGCAAGTCGGTTTATGTGGTTGTTACATCCTCAGTTACAGACAACGAGATCTGTGACGCCAGCGAGGGCCGTTCCAACGCGGTTATTGTGACTACATAAAATAACAATACTCTTATGCGCAAGTCGGTTTATGTGGTTGTTACATCCTCAGTTACAGACAACGAGATCTGTGACGCCAGAGAGGGCCGTTCAACGCGGTTACTGTGACCACTTAAGATAACAATAATCTTATGCGCGAGTCGGTTTATGTGGTTGTTACATCCTCAGTTACAGACAACGAGATCTGTGACGCCAGCGAGGGCCGTTCAACGCGGTTACTGTGACCACTTAAATTAACATACTCTTATGCGCAAGTCGGTTTATGTGGTTGTTACATTTTCAGTTACAGACAACGATATCTGTGACGCTAGCGAGGGCCGTTCAACGCGGTTATTGTCACCACTTAAAATAATATAATGCGCAAGTCGGTTTTGTGGTTGTTACATCTTCAGTTACAGACAACGAGATCTGTGACGCCAGTGAGGGCCGTTCAACGCGGTTACTGTGACCACTTAAGGTAACAATAATCTTATGCGCAAGTCGGTTTATGTGGTTGTTATATCCTCAGTTACGGACAACGAGATACGAGTGCCGTTTCAGCACGGTTATTGTGGCCACATAAACAACCTGTGCCGTAATTAACAAAGATTTGTATTTTTTTCAGCTTACACCAACGTCGTTTAAAAAAAAACTGCCGGATGGTGAAAATACAGAAGCGAACCACTCGCGAATAAGATTTGACAAGAGTTTCCTTGAAAGTTTCCTATTGAAGAGAACAGATTTAGGGACTCTTCATGAGTATGACAATATCCTAAAAGAACAATTGGAAGCAAATATCATTGAAATTGTGCCAGCCAATAAAACTAGTGCTTCTCAACAAGCAACTCTAATTCACTATTTACCTCACGACAGGAAGGTAAGAGAGGTCGATTGGTCTATGATGCCTCTGCTAAGATAGTGGGAAATAAAAGTTTAAGCGAGTGTCTTTACAGCGGACCTTGAATGTTGGACGACCTGATAGTCCTACTGCTCAACTTCAGGACAAAGAAAGTAGGAATTGTAGCAGATGTAGAGAAGGCATTCCTCCAAATTGAACTCCAAGAGGATGACAGAGAAGTAACACGTTTCTTGTGGGTAAAAAACAAAGAGAAGGAACCTTTGGGTGATAACTTACTCCATATGCGTTTCACCATAGTACCTTTTGGTATAATATCTAGTCCATTTCTTCTCACTGCTACCATTAGATATCATATGTCCAGCACAAATGAGAAACAGCTTAAAGAAATTGCTACTAAATGCTATGTCGATAATTTAGTGACAGGTACCGAAACAACGAATCAAGCTCAGAATATCTATCATCAGACTAAAGGCACATTTAATCAGATTTCAATGAACATTAGAGATTGGCTGTCTAATGATAAGCACTTCCTCAAGACTGTACCTGAAGAACATAGAGCCAAAGTGACAAAGGAAACCAAAGTGCTTGGATTGATATGGCATTTAGATACAGACACACTGAAACTGAAATCAAATGAGAGCTCTGAATTTGAGACTTCAGTTAATACAAAACGAAAGGTTCTAAAAACATTAGCTAGTATTCACGATCCCTGTGGTTTTGTATCTCCATTGATATTTCTGCAAAACTATGTATAAAACTACGTATTTCAAGAAATATGCATGAGGAAATTAAAATGGGATGACATTCTCCCTGATGACTTGATACAGAAACTTGAAATTGTCAAAGAAAATTTACAGAAAGCTAAACACATTGTCATACTCAGATATGTTGGTGGTATTTACTCCCATGGTGATACTGAATACCAGCTTCACTGCTTTACAGATGCATCTACAAAAGCATATGCCACTGTGGTTTACTTAAGGAGCAACGGCAAAAAATTGACTCTGATAATGTCCAAGACACGCGTCATACCAATTGAAGAGAGAGATAATTTGAAAATGCCCAAACTGGAACTGTTAGGTTACTTGGTTGGAAGCAGGCTATTAAAATACGTCAGAAGCAACATTGACCTACCAATCCTAAGACAATTTTTATGGACTGATAGTCTAGTGGTTCTTAGCTGGATGAAATCCAATAAACTGCTTCCTCCGTTTGTTAACAGAAGAGTTAATGAAATTAAAGAAAACCATCATGGTAAAATGTGCTACATCAACACAGATGTCAACCCAGCTGACGTTGCCACGCGACCCGAACTCTGGGACCAAAACAAGGAATTGTGGTTTAATGGACCTGACTTCCTTCTGAAGGAAGAAAGTCTTTGGCCACACACAAGACAAATTAACAGCCATTGTACGCTATTTTCGGCTGGGGAGGCTCAGGACTTCAACAGTCCAGTAGACATGTTTGTGGGAGGAGAACTTAGTGCTGATGACTCAGTTGACATAGGCATTGACTGCTCTGAGGTGCCTCTGCAAAAAGAGAGTGAACATCGTTGCAACCTCCTTGATAGACATACCACCGATATAAAGAAACTTCAAGCCGAATACTTCCCACATGAAGGGGCTGGTAAAGAAACAAACTTATCTAGAAATTTAGGCCTGTTCTTGGATGTAGACGGTGTTCTCAGATCAAAGGCGCGTATGGCACATACCTTCAATCTGGCCATATGACATGAAACATCCAGTTTTTCTACCCAAAGATAGTGAGTTCACCAACAAAATTATACAAGAAACTCATGAAAAGAACTACCACATTGGTTTCACACACATTGAGTATCATACGAAACCAGTATTGGATGGATACCTCATAGAAGAGCACAAGTACAGAAGGTCCTGAAACGTTGCCCACAATGCGTAAAACACGGAAGTAGCAAGCACAAACTTCCACCTACACCAGCATTACCTATGGAGAGTGAACTATAGCACTCCATTCACATTTACAGGTATTGACTACTTTGGACCAATGTATGTGATTGGTGTTGTTGCTAGGAAAAAAAAAGATGGGTATGTTTACTGACCTGTTTAGCAGTGCGCGCCGTCCACTTAGCGATCGTCAA